GATGGGGTTTTTAACAGCGAGAGCATTAAACGCGACATGGCCTATTCCTTTGATGATGTGGCGAATACGATCAGCTTCTGTCATCGCCGAGTTCAGGTGGTTGCAAAGGGCAAGGACGTCTTCAATATACGAAGTGTACGTCTCCTCAGGATGTTGGGCATGCCCATCGAGCTTTCGTTTCGACACTTCGGAATGGATTTTCGGTTTCCCTAAAATCCTACGGACTTGTTGAGCAAAAGTAGGCCAATCCGGGAAGCTGCTCTCGTGGTTAAAAAACCATGTTTCTGCGACATCGGACAGATAGAAGGCGACGTGACGAAGTTTTGAGGCTCATCCCATTGGTTATAAACACTGGTCATGTCGTATTCTTTTAGCCATATCTCGACGTCGTCGCGTAGAAGACCACAGAAGATGGGTGGGTCGCGCTGCCGGGCGGTGATTATCCACGCAGGAATGGTTTGTTAGACAGGGATGCTGTATGTTCCGGGCAGCGGTTCTTGAGTCATGACAGTGGACGGGGGAAGCAAGCGGTGACCCGAACGAAGCTCCAGGGGAAGGTGACGTCGTAGAGGACTTAGGGATCGAAGCAGCCTCCACCACTCTATAAGACAGTAGCAGCGTTGCAGTCTCGAAGGCGTTTATTAGGCCGAATCGCCTGACCAACTTTTCGAACGAAGACGACGTTTTTCGTGATGATGATTATATACAGATGAAGATGATGAAGGTCAAACGTTGGGAATATTCTGCTTACAATATAAACAAGTATAATGAAAACAGCCCCATCAACACTATAGAAACAATTCAAGACTCTCTGTTGTTTTAAAGCCAAAGCATCCAAGCCATTGTAATGAAGGTCAATTGATAGTGCATTCACATACTCAATGCAAATCCACACATCACAAGTAATGTTTCATTCATTATCATATTGCATATGCTACAAACCACAGACACAGCTATAGAATATGTTTAAAACGCCTAAAATGATTCAGTTTAATTGCGTGAGATCATGTACACTCACACTTGTATGTACATAGTGATTATACGCCCCCCACTCCCAATTTCCTCAAAAATAAAATCTCAGCTAGGTCCAAACATGTGCTTTTAAGTAACATAGCCTGACAAATCATGGGAATTGTAACTTATTGCACTCTGAAAACCACCTTAAGTTGGTCGTCGAAGATGTCACTGTGCACGTCATGCTCATACTAGTCAGCATGCATGTTCTAAGATGCCTTCTTCACAACTTATTTGCTCATTCATTATTTGTAGTAACACCATTATGTCGCATCAAACCCCAATAAAAAACTCTACCCAAAGAGTAATTTTCAGTAACAATCAATCCAAATCAGTTTTCTCAAAACACGCCTGAACCCAAACCAAAAAATATATGTTGCCGATTTAGAGAAGAAAATTCAGATGTAGGACATCATACCGAACCAGCAGTATTACAACTGAACACATAACCGAAATTATGTTTTGGAAGTGCGTCTGCAACCACATTGTGAATTACATTACCAGTTAATATTGGTTTAAAACAATTGAAGTGGTTCAATGCAAGTGTAAGCAGCATATGTTGCCACTTACATGGCGAGTTTAACTTTAGGAATTCTGGTGCTGTGAGGTTTTTGCGTGAAAACTGGCTTCCATAAAATTGCAGAGGGGATCACTAATGGCACACAGTTGCCTGCCATTCAGTAAGTACATCTCTAGGGGCAGTGCAGTGCCAGAAGTGGGGAGCTGAAGCCCCCTGAAAATGTCCACATGCCCCCCCCCCCCTTTGCCACCACAAAAGCAAACATAGTCAAACGCAGCACAGTTCTCAGCCTCCTTGTCCCCTGAAAGAACTCGCGTGTCATGGGTGACCCCCATTGTTAAGAAATCCTTGCGCTACCCCTGTACGTATTTGTTTTCTGCTACCTGTCACTTTGCTGTCGCATTGGTAGAGCGGCCGCCCCGGAAAGGCGTTGGTATCGTGTTCGATCCCCGGACCACGAAAAATTTTTCCGCAATCAAAGAAGCTTTTCTTTGTGAGAAATTAGTACATATTTTTTTTGTGGCCTCGTGTCAAGAATGGGTGGTTGTCTAATTTCTCTTTTTGAACCTTTCTGCGCTCTTGCAGGTTTCCACAGAACTCATTTGCATTGCTTTGTTGTCTCAGGTTACACAAAGCAGTTTATTATTTCAGAAAAATTAACAAGCTTGTGTTCCTTCAGAATTATGCATTATGCCATACCCTCCAAAGGGACCCTGTGTTTCAAATGATGCATGCTGCTTTTCTTTCATGTTTTTCAGTAGAAGTGGCAAAATCAAAGCATTTTAATCTAAATATTTCTGGCATCACACGTGACACATTGCCACAGCTCGAACATCGCAGAAGACGCTGCCACAATTCGCGTTCGTAAAAGCCGCCAAGCAAGTAGCAAGAAAGCCGCGTCATGGAACGCCGTCCTGCACGCGCCACGATGCTACGGCACGGGACCGGCACGAGACTCGAGGGGCAGAGGAAGAGACCGATGAAGTTGGAGTCAGCGAGCAAGAGGCATTCTTGGCTGACCATTTTTAGCTTCGAGTTTACGGGCACAAGTTCGCCCTAAATAAAGAGTTTATATAGTACCAGGTGCTATATTTATTCGTAACAATATTCAACTACGAGTATTCATTGGCTGAAAATAAAGAATCTGTTGCGCATGCTTGCGGTGAGGATGTTATTATGATTAAAAAATAGAAGCGGGTATTACGCTTCCTGAATAGCATGAAAAGATGCATTTTCATGCAAAATGATTTGATTTTGTGTGCAACCAAGACGAGCAGTGCTGACCAACATCCTACACAACGTGAAATCTTACATTGCATTTCTACACTAGGACAAAGCTATTTACTTTCTTATGGGTACTCTCATGCTAGTCAAAATATCTGCTGAAGTCACTGTAGTGCTTTGATTTCACTGTTACGGCCCATGTGGTTACCGTAACTCATAATGACTCCATCAATAAAAAAAGGTGGTGGCTAGGTAGGCTTTAATACCACATTATGTTGGCTGCATTTTCACTGAAAGGAGAAAACCACCATACTATGCGAATGAAATATTACAAGGTATGCCAGTAAATGTGATATGCTTTCGTTTTTAATTTGTATGTTTGTCAGCCCTTGTTTGCTAGTGCCAACCTTGCTAACTCCTTTTGCATGTACCTCAGGATTATGCAAGGAAGATGTTGACACGTGAAACTCAGCTTATAAAATATTCTTGCAGGACTTCTTTAACTCAGTGTGCACTCAAGGAACAGTGCATCATCGATACGTCTACTTGTGTTAAAAAACTGAGTGCGCAATTTGTTTCGTACAAGCACATGCATCGATGATGCACTGTACTTTTTATTTTTTCAGTGTGACTGATGTAATGCTGCTGCCATGTCACATGTGGAGTACACCTACTAAATTTTTTAGGCTACTGCTTTTAGGTGTGTTTTTAGGCAGAACATAGACTTTCTTGTTGTATTGCATTCCAATCTAATTCTGTGGTCAATATTTTAAGCACTCCTAATTATCGCTCCCAAAGAATTACACTCAGCGAGTGCCTGAAACAATTGTAATGAAATTCGGTTGACCTTCTTATCTAGAACGTGCCTGTTTAAACTGACCATCTGTTTAGACTGGCACAATCTAAAGACGTGAGCATGTCTTCACCAGTGAGTCAATGATGGTGGTATGTGCCCATAGGGTATTCCTGCCGAGGCATTTGTATGGAAATGCAAATGCCTCAGGAGAAGGAGGATGTATACTGGCAATGCAATGGGGCAAGGGGACAGTTAGAATATCATGAAGTTAAAGGCTTTGGACATGCAGTGTCACATTTACGACATCTTCAGTCAACTGACAGTTTCCAAAATCTGATTGATTGGAGTCGTGTCTTGTTTGATGTGGTAGAGTATGCAGTATCTAGTGATGAGTTTAGAAAGCAGGCCAGTGGTGCATCAGCCAGACAAAAGTCTGTCTTGTGTGTGTAGGTAACTTTGCTGTCACCACAAAGTGTAATAAGAGGCCACAGACTGCACTCTGATCGGTCAAGGCTGTTATTCAGGAATGTTTTATGTGAACAGTCAATCCCCATTTGAAGGTTATTACGTGAGCCACAACCATGAACCACAACAGTTCTATGTCCCATAATACATTTTCGAGAAGAAGGTGGTATCACGCAAGCTTCACGCACGCTTTTTGCTGTTTCTTAAGCAACAATCAGTCCCGCCTAAAGAAGCTGTTTAAATGAAACAGCGCCTAGCACTGGCTGTAATACATCTTTCTAAGTAATTCTGTAATTAGCAGCGGAGATAAAAGCCCACGAAGAATACACTTAGATCGCGACAAAGGAGGGGCTCAAAACTGAGAGAAATTAAAGGTGTAAATTTTGCCTTAGGGGTGATTGTTGTAGCATTCAACAGGCAACGAGGGAGAGAAGAATGTACAATCTTGATTTGCACTGCTCAATACACCACTAGGCCCCTGAAACATCAGGCAAGTCAACGGTCACACGACAACTTTCATATCTCGTGTAACTGTACAAGTATGTTCATAGGCACACGTGAAGAATACAGAAGATCGTGTTTAATGAAGAAATTGTGGGTTCCTGCAGTCGGTCTGGCCCGTATCTGGGTCAGGTGTCGACCAAGTGTGAGCTCGCTCTGGTGCAGCCAAGTCACAACCTTGCCCTATCGTGCGCAAGGCAAATACCCAGACCCAGCGCCCCAAGCTCGTCAACCTCAGCCTCAATCTACGTGTATTATTGTTGCTGAAGCTTGGGCTCGACTAGGGTTAACAAATTTTGCGCACTATTTGCACTTGTGCACCTGTGGCTATAGTTCCAACGATTGAGCAATTTCCCTTCGCACATTCCCTCCACGCACATTCTGCAGGTGTCTAATTGCGTTATGGAAGTTTGATTTGCGGTTACCCCTGAAATATGGACAATACAAAGCACCAATACGAGCACTTTAGCGCTTTCTTACCTGGCAGTCCACGGCCATGTGGAAAGCACCTTTCTTGAACGGTAGCATCTTGGGTTCCGGATTCCGAGTCCCTTCTGGAAATACCATGAAGCTCGCCTGTATGTGTGCGCGTGAGCAGGTTAGCCCGTTGAAGATGCAATGGGCACTTTCGGTACAAGCCTGTCTTAGGCACCTCATAATTTATCGACTACTCGGCGTGCAATGCGAGCCACTAGTATACTTTTGCTTCGTCGTTTCTGCAGACTGTGGTTACCGTATTATGTACATACGTGCATGCATTGCTATTCATTCAGCGTCAGGTCACCTCTAAATCCCTACAACTACGATCTCGCCAAAGTGACAAAACACCACTGCCGTCTAAACTGCTCAGGCAGAAATAATAAGAGGAACAGCAATGGGCCTGACGGTGAGTTCTTAGCCACCACCTCACACGAGATGGTGAACTTGTCTCAAAAGTTAGTATTGATAATATTACTAGTAAACATTACTAATTATTTTATAATTGCCAAATCTAGCGAGTCAAGACTCCCCCCGTTCATTTGTTTGTGCGACAGATATTGGTGCACCTCTACAATTATTTTTTTTGCGCGTTTGAAATTTTTGATGAATGCGCTGAAAGCGTGCTAGCGCCTCATGGGCTTTACGAAAGATGCTCAACTTCAACAAAAATTGGTAGATCCCACGTACTGTGAGAATCAATGATATGCGAAGCACGAATGAGAAATGTTGATATGTCACTTTAAAATCAGCAAGACGTTACGAGGTGGAGGTAAATGATGCCGTACATGACTTCCGTGTCATCATTCTCATGTTTGGATGTGTCGTTTACCTTTGTCATCTATGCACGTCACGTGACATTAAATTTAGTATATTTGGAGCTAGCGAAACAGCCGCGAGCACGCTATGAGCGTGGTATGCAGTCATGTTTTTACATGACACGCGTGTCAGCATTATCATGTTTGCACCAGTCATATATTTCATCAGTCATTGACGTCACGTAACAGCAAATTCGGCATATGTCGAGCTAGCAAAACGGCCACCAGCGCTTCATGAAGGGCCCAATATACTCCAATGTAGCAATGATGCACGCACACACTGGGCACAGGGACGTTACGGTAGCAAAACGCGAGCACTCTTTAGTCTGACGCCAGGCGCGACTATAGCGTCCGTCGGCGCGGCCCGACGGCAACCAGCGCGAAATGCGACATGCTGCATTTCGCGCCAATCCGTTACCCAGGCAACACTGCGTCTCCCTTTTTCGTGATGAAGGGACGCCGGACGCGCTGAAACGCGCATGCGTCAAAGCAACGTAGCGCCGCGCGCACCTTCAAGTATACGGCAGGACCGGCGCCTGGCATGGCAACGCTGGCGTGATGCGACGAAATGAACGCCGGCGAGCACGCGCACTGCATCACGTCGAAATGTATTGGCACCTTGACTGTGGCATGTAGTCATGTTCTCACATGACACACATCTTATGATTATTATGTTTGCACCAGGTACATACCTTCGTCATCCATTGGCATCACGTAATAACAAATTTGGCATATGTGAAGCAAGCGAAACGGCCACCGGCGCATCATAAGTGTGGCATGCAATAGTGTTGTTACACGAAACACATCTCATGATTATTATGTTTGCACCAGTCACATACCTTCATCATCCATTCAGGTACCGTAATACCAAATTTGGTATATGTGACGCTAGCGAAACGGCCGCTAGTGCATCATCAGCGTGACATGTAGTCATGTTATTGCATGGCATGAATGTCATGCTTTTCATGTTAGGGCCTGTCGTTTGTGCTCGCCATGCAATCATGTCATACCATACCAGTTTTGCAACATGCCATGTGAACGAAACCACCGCAAGAGCTGCAGGACCATGAAATGTAAATCATGACATTCTTGACATACTTGTCATGATTTTCATGTTGTGACTAATCAAATATGTTCTTCGTACAGTCATGTTATGCCATACCAAGCTTGGTATTGATACCAATATAGAAACGGCCAGGAGAGCTAAATGTCGTAGGTGGCTAGATAGATAGATAGATAGATAGATAGATAGATAGATAGATAGATAGATAGATAGATAGATAGATAGATACGCTCAGAGTCGCGGAAGTTCGCTAAGAAATGCTTCGCATTTAAAATGGCGTAGGAACCATCGTAACAGCCCAACTAAACAAGGCACACGTTAAGGAACATACGAGAATGCGTGCACTGTGCGCCTCTTCTCGTCTGTTCGTGTGTCTTGTTTCGTTGCACTCTCACGATGGTTGCTATGCGTAAACATTAACTCGCCCAACAGTCCACCCTTTCCAAGTTCAAGAATGGTACTTTCAAAAAAGTCATAGTTGAACCGGAAGCGTGATGTAATGAATGCGATAGCAACAAATTGGAATGTCAAGAGAATAACGACAACCAGATCGAAATGTGCCGCACACGGCTCAAGAAGAAAGAACGCATGAAAAATCGCCAGGCCTGCGCGGAACGCGCAGCACAGCCACAGCGAAAGCATGAAGAGCGGCCTTACAGAGCCTTTTATAAACACTATTTAGGTAAATGTTAGAAGCACGCTTGCTGGGTGCACACTACAAACGCTATCCTGCTAAACTATAAGACGCTGTCCACAACGAACGTTTTCTGCACGGTAATGCCATTCCTTTAACCTCCGCTATCACGTTAACGGTAAACTGTAACTGTCTAATGTCTTATAGTTTAGCGTTAGCGTGATAGCGTAGGTTAAGGGAAGAGCATTACCGTGCAGCAAACGTTCGTTGTGGGCAGCGTCTTATAGTTTAGCGGGATGGCGTTTACGTGGTTTACGTGCCCAAGCTGGTATGGTGGCGCCACCTATTATATGGTTAATCAGTTAAAGAACAGTGAAAACAAAACAAAAACGAGAATGTTTGCCTTTGCCACTGCGCGAAGAATTGTTAGAAGTTTATTTTAGTAATAATAAAAGTAAATAAATATGAACTATGCACCAAACTCGAAAACATCTATGTTGCCGATTTGTCTACATCGATCTTATCTACACAGTGTTTAAAATAGCATGCCAATTAAACTCTGTCCCCATAAACGTTCGAATTTTTGTATATTTTGAGTTGCTTTGTGCGTACTTTTGTTTCTGTGTATTTTTTAGCTTCCTGTTTTGAAAATTTGTTCGTCTGCATATTGAGCATTCAGGTAACCCACTCTGCAAAAATCCCTAGTAGGATTTGCAGTATTCATGAATAAATAAATAAATAAATCTTGTAATTAGGCCTAGACGCGTTCGAAATGGAAATCTATCTCAAAAACTACGCCAACTTATGCGCAATACTCGGTCATCGAAGCTAACTGAAGGCAAGCGAAGCCATTTTAAACAGTCGTTTGCTGTAAACAAGGTGAATCTTTCAACAACTACGCCAAAATCACTTCGAAGTGGGCATCCGAGAGTGCCGCCATGTTTACGTACACTACGTACACCTACGCTACCACGGTAACGTGAAATCTGAAAAATACCGCGCGTACGGAAGCGGTACGGGTGACGTACGTATCTTCGCATGCGTACTTTCATTCTGGTATCACGGTACACCCGGTATCCCGGTAAGCCCGGTATACTATAACTCTCTATCAACTGTCTATTCGCACCACTGAGACTTCCAGACGCACTCCCCTCCTGCCGCCTTTATGAAAGCCAGCAGCGAGAGCAGGCGCATAGTCGCTTACGTCCCATTTCTAAATGCTATGACCCACGTATCCGTTGGTGGTGGTGGTAGTGGTTAGAAGATGAGAAAAGGCACCTAATTTCTGCAGCCCGGTCGGGAGAACGGCGCAGTGCCTATGTATCCGTTGCAGCGCGTCGGTGCATAGCTTTTCGACGTGGCGCCGTGCCCTCTCCTTATGAAGAAAGAGGATGTGTGGTTGAGAAAAGTTGTGCACCCTCTCTCTTTATTGGCATCGAGATCTTGGAGTCGAATCTTCTCGCGTGTGACGTCAGTTTGTGGATTCCGCTCTCAACCGCGCTGCAGCAGCCGCTGCTCCTGTGCGCGGATCGTCTGCTTCGGGCGGGAACTTTGCCGAACGAACAACCTCGCAAGGGTCAACGAACGCCCACAACTAATGTTTTCGAGTGCAATTATGAATTTGTGTCAGTTGCAGCCCAATCGACAAGGCCAAGAATCCTTCCAGATGGCCGATTAGCACGCTGGAGCCTCCGACCACATTGCTGGTAAGAAATTCAAACTTCTTGTGAGTGTTCTCGCTCGTCACCTGCAGTTCCCACCGTGCGATACTAATCAGTTAGGGTGTTTCGAAATTTCAATAAGCGGGCCTCTCTCCAGCATCTACAAGCATGTAGATACAGCTAGCGAAAACGCGCGGTGTCTCATCGACGGCGCGCTGGTGTACGACGCAGACCACGTTGTTGAATGGCCGCAGCCGATGCATGCTGTCAATGGAGATCGCATCACCATCACGGTGTTGCCTTGCTATGTATGTTATTGCAACGTGAAAGTTCATAGCGACTGGTTTTCCGAGACATCACCCCAGACACCCACGAAAAGACGAGGCCGTTTGTACACCATACTTTATACAAACATAAAAAAACGAACACACTTAACATGGACCGACTATGTAAAGGATCCCTCACTGTCTCTTTGCGCTACCGAAGTCCTAACCTAAAAGTCCCTCATCTTAGCATGGACACAAGACATGAGACCGGTCTCACCAAAGTTCGTTGGTACTTCTTGCACTGAATCACGTTGTTTGTACGGTAGACCAAGTGGCGACTTGAAGGGCAGGTACCACCATCGTAGCCACGTCCCGGCCGGACACCTCAGCTGGAACTCGTGTCCGTAGCCCGACAGCTCCGCGTGTCCTCGGTCACAAGATGCCTTGAAGCCGCAGCACGTCAGCGAGTCACGGCCGTAGCAGGTAGTGCGTAGCAGGTAGACCGGGCTCAGCTGTTACCAGGCTCAAGTCCGGGACCCAACGGCCGAGTAGCGAGCCCTGTCTTCCTCGTTCCTTCTCTCGTACCTACGCCGCCACGCTCAACCCTCCTTTTCTTTCTTTTTGGTTTTTCAGCCCAGTGCTCATGCCACCTTCATC